CGGTGCCATCCCAATTGAAGCGGTGATCACACTCAAGGGAGTGCGCAAATAAGAGTGATAAGGGGTCCCGTCGGCGAACAGCTAACTTATGTTCCTTCATGCCAGTCTCGAGACGTCGGCCTGTGTGGCTAAAAACCTCTATTGCGACATTCCTAGCCATCACTTTTTATTTAGTCTGACGACGAACAGTTTATGCCTGTTAGAAAATTCACGAGCGCAACTCAATTTTCCGAAGATCTTCTTTCTTTTGATCATATGATCTCGGAATGCAACTTGCTTCACTTATCCAGCAATAAACGTTTTACTCTTTCACGTGTTTATTTAACTTTCTTCATATAAAACATCAAGGCATCCCGCAATTAAATATTTCTTTGCGTGTTGGATGCATGCCCTCGATGCATTTGAGATTGCTACATATATATGCCTTTTCAATTTGTAACTAAGTGCCTGTGAAAATAAAACAGGTATCATTACTGTGCAGTGAGTAAACCTACTTTTACGGACTGCCGGCAGGTTGGCATCATAGATGGTACAAAGAAAAGTGCTGCCCCAGAAAGGGGCCGGCAACGTTTCGGAAATATTAAGCTTACACCAGAACTTTGCCCGATAGATTGCGATTGAAAATAGATAAATCAGGGTGACATTACTCTTTGAAAACCTGTGTAAGTATTGAGACGGCTATGTGTGACGGGATCACGTCTTTCAACTTGGTTATTTTGGCCTGAAGCAAGCTGAAGCAAACCTTAGCTTGTACCACACGGTAGAACTCTAGGTATATTTTGTGTTTAGAGGATAAAACGAGTCGGAAGAACTTAAGCATATGACTTTAACATAAATTAATTTATCAATAATTGCCCTTGGGCTTGCTAGTGGGAATGTTTGCAAGGGTGCCAAGAAACTTTCACTCTTCTGGATTATATTTCATCCCGTCTCTCTGTCCACGAAAACTGGCTTTGGAAGAGGTCCTGTCTTTTGCTCTCTTGGATTATAGATCTACTTGTACCCTCGTTTCTCATAAGCAACACGGCTCGGCAAAACAATTTCAGAAGCCCCTTTGCACAACCTCACCCGATTTGTAAAATCAGTAGAGCTCATAGCACCACACGAGTGCGATATCTTCGACCTTGGTTTTCATATTGGTAAATTAGTCACTATACCTTCTACCGCACAACCCGCATTTGCAAACCCACAAATTACGTATTGTTTATCCGGCGAAGGCCGTCAGTGGGTGAGTCATGCATCCCGCCCCAGCGTTGGACCGTGCTCTTCACACTCCGGCTATCTGTGACAATGATTGACGGGTCGGAGCGAGGCCGGCTTCGTCTGCCCTCTGACCTTTTGATAGGTGGCAATTCAACCGGATGCAGAACGCGGGCGTTGAATCAGCGCTCGTTGGGCCATCGCGTCACCTGCTGCATCGGGTCGACTACAGAGGCAGGCCTTGTTTAGGGTAGTATTGGTCCCGTCACCTCTGATCCCGGATATACTCTTTTGACCCGGCTCATCGTCACTGGCGCTGAAAAAGGTGTTCACTGGCGAGGTAATCAATCTAGAATCCGCTAGATAACCACGAGGCACACTCTACGAGTGAGATCAGATTCCACGGACGCTACCGAGGTTTTCACCGTTGGGCCAGATGAATTGTTAAAAGTGGCTCTGAAGACACCCAGCAGCCTGGCGCACTCTTGTACTATGGTGGCCTCTTACTGGAAGAGCTGACTTTAGAAAGGCTACGAAAACTTAAAAATTAAAATTGAATGATACATCATGCATCACGCAGGAGACTGTGTTGCGTTTGATGAAGGCAAATCTTCCGCAATAACGGGGAAAGGCTGGTAATAAGCACCGATAGGCCAGTGGAATCAAATTCAGTTTTGACACAAAATGTGCGAGGAAGTGTCTTGGTTTCCTTTCGAGGAAAAAACATGGTCCTGTATAAACGGTTTTGAGGATTTTAATAAGCTGCAGTTACACTTGGAATTTCTGATAAACGGTAAAATCCGTAAAGTACATTTCTTCGGAGCTCCCAGTATAGAACCGTGGGTATGATGTGACCCTCATGTTTATACTGACCAAATGACGCACTGGCTGTTTACGGTGTTCAAAGTTTCGGAATTCAAGTTTATATTATTCATGGCTATCGCTGTGTGCGGTGTTAAGGGGCAGGCATTTTGAATATTCCGCCGAAGTATATCCTTGAAGTTTGTCAACCTTTCAAGGAAATCGTCAAAATAGGAAGTATAACAACTTTTAAAAACGATAACATCGGTGATAACTAATATTATATTGTGTTTGTCTTCCAAATAGGATGAGAACGACAACGATCCTGTATTTGTCCGACCAAGACCAGTTAGTGGAACCTCGTCTCAGCAGAGAGAACGCTCCTCTGATTCCAGTGCCGCAAGAGAAACCAGTAATACGCCAAAACAGGGCGAGGCTGTAGTCCGAGATGATACTGAGTCCTTTTCAGTGGATTCACAGGGACCAACACCACCCGCTAAAGATCAAATTCTGGTTGTGGCCGTTCAACGTGCGAGCATGCCTATGACAGGAGATAGCGGAGAGGCTCATCTCCAAAGCGGTAAGCCCTGGAATCGCTACTCCTCGTTGCCTCAATTTAATTTGCCTAAAAAAGAACAACTTACTTAACTAAAAGCCAACTTCACGAAAAGTTCCGAAATATTACTAAAATCTGAAATGTAAGTCTGAGAATTAAGCACAGTGAACTAACTTCATATCCCCGACTTAGCCGCACTGGTAGCTTTTGAATTAACTAGTACATATATCATACCGAAATAGGATGCTTTTGAGCGAAAATACGAATTTAAATATTAATGATTGGTATAATATTCAGTATTCTTTTATGTAGGTTTACTACGTAAGTGTCTACGACGGAGACAGAACATCTAGGGCAGCTGGAAATCGTAGACTTATTTAAATTACAATACGCTCACATGAAGATCAGAAAACAATAATTAAATTGTCAATAAAAGAGACAGGAGAAACCAGAGAGACCAATTTTTGCTTCCTTGCCATCATCATAAAAGGACCGAGTGCTACTGATAGATAACAAAGTGTAAGGCGGAATTAGTTACTCCAAACTCATTCGTCTTTTTCTATAATCCTTTGCAATTAACAATTGCTGCTGCAAAGGTGCCATCTTGACGACACTCGCCTATATCTGATAGAACGAAGTGTTTAGAAGAATGAGATGCGATCGCTGGAGAATGAAGTTTATTCACCTGACGTTTCAGATTGTTAATAGAAACCAAAGTGTTCTAGGCACTAAGGGGAAACCTCCATAATTAGATCAGTCAGGGGTGTGCCCTTAATTTGCATACTGCCTGCAAAAGTGTTTAGCCAGGCGGATTTATACAAGCTCAAAGATATAATAAATTTTAAGGGGCGCTTATCATTGACACAGTATCCACTCTGGTGATCCTTCATATTTTCTGACCGTGGTTGCCGGAGTTCGGAAGTAAAAAGAAGACCTTACCGACCGAAATAATATTTTGATAAGCTATAGGCTCCCGCTTTTGGTAAACTTTGAAGCAACTTTCGTAAAGGTGATATTTGCCAAAAACATACTCGTCTTTTCATATATCGTTAAACCTTAGGTTATCCACCTACTTGGTAAGAAGCTGGCATTGTTCATTTCATTATTTCGTTGACAAGTTCGTACGCCTTTTGGGCTACCAGAGTTGACTGGTTACTGCGACATGGAGGAGATGTTTTTCTCTATTTGGTTACATTAGTAAAGAAGTAGACAAATGTGAAATTATTTCGATTCTAGAAAATCAAAGTTGATGCGACGATGCCAGCAAAAGGAAGTTTTGTAAAAGCGTAAACAAACCATTCTTCATGTCTGAATCATGAGCGCATTATTTACTAGGGGGACATTACTGGGACTCCAGCCACCCAGGCGGCTCGTGAGTTTACGGACGGCGAATTTGCAGGTTAAAATGATGCATTGTAGGCTGTGAATGACCAGTAGTCCAACCTATCCGTACTTCAGTTTCATGTGACATTTTTCGCAGGAAGTAGTCAGCACACACACACACAGACAATTTGTATACGTTCATTTGAAAAAGTTCCACCACTGAGGTTGAAAAACCGTGTGCATTTTTTTGTGTATGTGTTCCTCGATTTAGTATTTACATTAACTAATCACACTCTGCATGGAGAGAGTGGTCACCCTATATACGGTCATCAGCCTCGTGAAATACGCGAGCACCTTTTTAGATGTCAGTCCTCCACAGAATAAATTCGGTCAGTTTGCTTCTGTTTATGATATTTCAAATGTCAGCGCTGACCTTACAGTTCTAGGTAGAGACACCGGTATTCCACCTAGCAACAATAGCAGTCTGTAGAAAATGTAGATAACTGGTCTAAATAAACACGACACCCCTTGTTGCTATGCATGCTGGACCGGAATTACGGTGGAACCTTGGTTGACGAATTTAATCCGTTTTGGCACCATGCTCGTCATGCGAAACAATAGTCTTGCGAAACGTAGCCAATCAAACGGCATCAGTTCACTGACTGGCTGCAGACGACCGATGACCCACGCCCTGGGAGCAAGATTCAACGGCGAACACAAGTGCACACACACACTGACAGTTCTTTAACGGAGCGGAAGCC